ATAAATAATGATTTTATAATTATAATATACTATCTTATAATCCTTATAAAAAGTCTCATAAATCTCCATAGTCATACTGTTTATTAACTTATATTCTTAAATTGCAGGTACTACAAGATAGCACCAACTGTGAAGTTTTGGGAGTTAAAAACTACTTGCAAAATATTTTAAAAATATTTCAACAAATTTTTTGGCCTATTCATTAATGAAGACCTATGAGTAGTGTTTCTATGAATCTGTTTATAAATATATTCAAAGATTCAAATAAAGAAAAAAGTAAATAATTGCAAAATTAAAAATATTTATATCTCATGATCTACTAGGCCAATTTTAACGTTTTAACTGCTATTCTGTTTCCAAGACACTCCTTTACAACTTTACTTGGGTGTTGAAAAAAGGTTTACTTAGTAAAAAAAAATTTTTTCTTTGAAAAACTCCAAAGTTAAAAAGTTTCTATCATAATAAAAGGTTTGAATTTTAACTAAAATATTTTTTTTACTAAGTAAACCTCTTTTCAACTTCTAACAAAAGTTGTAGAGAAGTATCTTGCAATCAAAATGGTAGTTAAACCGTTAAAATCAGCCTAGTAGATCACGAGATATAAGTATTTTTATCTTTGCTTTCTTTATTTATACTAGGTAAATAGAAATCATTTAAGGTCTGAAGAACTTATCACAAATCAGTCTGACAATGGGTATTTTCAGAGCAAATGTTTGTTTTTATTAATTAACCAATCAAACCCCTTAATTTGCGGACATACACACAACCAGGTCACTATAACTCTCCTATAATATTCTTTGGACAATAAAAAAAAAAATTTTTTAAAAAATAAAAAAAAAGTATATAATTGCAAAGATAAAAATACTTATATCTCATGATCTACTGGGCCGATTTTAATGTTTTAACTGCTATTTTGATCGCAAGTTACTCCTTTACAACTTTTATTAAACTAGGTTTACTTAGTAAAGAGAAATATTTTAGTTAAAATTCAAATCTTTTATTATGATAGAAACTTTTTAACTTTGGAGTTTCTCAAAGAAAAAAATTTTTCTTTACTAAGTAAACCTCCTTTCAATATCTAAGGAAAAAGTGTTTTGGAAACAGAATGGCAATTAAACCATTAAAATTGGCTCAGTAGATCATAAAATATAAGTATTTTTATCTTTGCGATTATTTATTTATTTTTTTATTTAAACCTTTAAACATGTTTATAAACAGGTTTATAGAAACACTACCTATGAAATAAATCATTAGTTATCAGAGCTATTAAAAAAGTAATCACTTGTTCTATACCTGAAGCTGGTTACAAAAATCATAAGTAAATGATTTCTCATGGATAGCAATATACATATAATGTAATGAACTTTGCAAAACTATTTATTACTAATTTCTGGCTTTCAATAATCCTTATAGAGGTTATCAAGTGCAAAAATTATTATTTTTATTAAGTTATGTAATTGATCAGCTGTTATATGTGTTATATCTAATAAGTTCTTTATTATTTTAAAACCAGAATATCAAGGAATTGATGTTAATCACTATTCAAAAATTTGAAGAACTCTGCTTTTACACTAGTCTAATAGAAGCTTTTTAGTATAATTTAGTATATACTTAAAGAGGCAAGATCCAATGTGTGCATTTGATCAGGAATGATAGTTTTATATATATTAAACACACTAAAAAATTTTATATTTATTATATATTTAGTACAAAAATTTGGGCTTGGTGTAGGGAAAAAAGATGAATTTGAAAAAAATAATATTTATAAAATTAATTATAATTAATTTTATAAATATTATTTTTTTTTCAAATTCATTCCTTTTCCCTATACCAAGCCTATATAATAATAATAAACTAAAATCATATACCCAATTTTCCAGAATACATTTATTTTAGGATAAAGTAAATAATTATGTTTTTCTCTACTACTTATCACTTGTCTTATAGCATTGGAAGTTCTTGGAATTATATTTGTTAATTTAGTCTTATTTAAATTATTCTTTAATACAAAGCATTTTCCACATAGTTAACTCAAGGATAATAGTTTATAAACATTAGCAAAATTATCAGCTTCAGCTATATCAACAATAATTGTTATGGATGATGCTAAAATCGGATAATGCTAAAATTCACATGATCACATGATGATCTCCGCTATTATATAGTAAAAGTTAAAAAATATTTTTAAACTAGATTTAGTGTTAAGTAAACCTACTTTCGTATACTAACAAAGTTTTTCTTCAAATTGAGACAATTCTAATGATAGTAAAATTATAAAAAAAGACTCTTCAAAGTTTTAAACTGTTTGTTTACATTTGTTTATATAATTTGCAAGTTATAAAATAGCGATTTATACTTTGAAGAACTATTTCAGATGATCTAGTGAGTTATTTTTGATGATTTTACTATCATTAGAATCATCCCAATCTAAAGAACAACTTTTGTTGGTACATGAAAGTAGATTTACTAAACACTAAATCTAGTTATAATATAATTTTTATTTTTTACTATATAATAGCAGAGATCATCATGTGATTACATGAATTTCAGCATCATCTGATTTTACAATCATCCGTGACAATAATTATTAAAATTTAGAGAATAAAGATAATTATGTTTCTACATATACCAAAATTAAATTCCAATATTTTTGCAATAGGCTTAAGAAGAATTATTATATACTTATGGAATACTTCTCTTTGCAACTTTTAAAAACCTTTAGAGTTTTTTGTTTTAGTATCCTTGGTGTTCAAAATTATAAGATATCTGATTAATATCTTGAATTCTGGTTTATTTTTTTGATAGTTAGAGATGTTTTCAAGCAATAAAAACAAGAAATGTCCAGAAGATTTTTCAGAGCAGAGATAGTAGGGTTCTGCAAACCTGGCACTTGCTTTATGCCCAATAAAAATTTCATGCTGCCAGGTACAAGACAAAAATGGTATACTGTGCTAGTCTAAAATATACCGAGCACTTTTTTAAATATTTAGCATAAGTATTATGCCTGGCACGTGCCAGTTGTCTGGCAGATGCCTAGCACATGCCAGTTGTATGGCATGTGCCAGTTGTCTGGCAGATGCCTGGCACATATCAGTTGCCTGGCAAATGCCGGAAGGTGGAATCTATGAATATTATTTGAGTATCGAAACTTCATGTTGTTTTAATAGTATTAAGTTTTTTAATTATTAATGAATAATCGATCTGTGTAAAGAAGCATAAAATATAAATGTGAGGATCAGATTTTAAATAATATTTGCAAGCAAAAAAAAAATGATATAAAATCTGAAGAGCTTGAAATATATAGTTTATGAAAAACTTATGAATGTTAAGAGAGAAAGCAATATGTATATGAATTTTATGATAGTTGTAGATATTTCCTAAACAATTGACGAATATAACATGGATAAAGCTTTTGCAAGTTCATTGCCATTATATTATGGTTTAAAATTTCTTTTTTTCATTATATTTCCATATTTAAATAAATTTCTTTATTATTTTTATGTTTTAGGCACTTGATAATCTTCCCAAACAAAAATATAGCTTCGAAGTATTGAAATGAATTTTAAACTGATTCAAAAAAAATGGTAAATAACATTAAATATTTGAATGAACAAAAAAGCTTCCAAAAACTTGTAATGGATGTAACAAAAATACCTTTTATTAGTAGCATAAAACATTCAAATTTGAATCTTTATATATGTATTAAATAAAATTTTGAATTTGTATATAAATGCATTCTATACCTTTGAATTGAGTGTAATTTGACTTATAACTAGTAGTTATGATTAAATAAATTCTAATAAGTTGAATAAATATAATAATAAAAAAAAACTTCGATTATTACTTCAAAAATCTTGTAATCTCATGATTCCATTATTCTTATGCGTAGATTAAAATTAAAAGCAATTACGTAACTGATTTTGGTGGTGATAGGGAAAACCTGTCGCTGGCTTTCAATTATATTTTGTACCAGACATAATCTATTAAATTTATTAGAGAATATGCCCGGTACAAAATATAACTAAAAGCCTGATAGCAGGTTTTCCCTTGGCAGTACGCATATAATATAGTTAATGCGAATTAGATCAATATTACTTCATTTTTTCTATTTGTATAATAGAATAGTAATTAGTTGATGAATATTAATGTATATTCGATTATATTAAGAAATGCAAATATATTTATGCAATAAAGTCGTAACTTAGTTACCTTACTATAAAAAATCTGATTGTAACTCATAACAAGATGCCTACACTCTTAGATTAGATTAGAGATCATGCACAAGTACCTGAAGTAATCTTTATGGTAATTTTGTCAAAGATTCATGTTGCGAAATGTGGTTATCAAATTTTAGTTAATCCACAACTCTGATAAAAAAAGATGGCCTCTATCTTTTTTTCATCACGATAATAAATTTGCCTGGTCGAATAATTTATTTTCACCAATTAAAAATTAAACTCTGACCTAAAGCACATTAGAGAATAACTATATATTTTAAATACACAATAATATCATCTTATTTCTTTTAGTGTATAAAAAATAGAATTAGTAATTGAATTTATATAAACTGAAATTGGATTTGTCTTACTTTATTAAAAATCTTTTTGCCAACAGATCATTTAGCTAACATCACAATACTATATCTCATTCATTTTTGTCAAGTCATAAAAAATTAAATAAAGATTAAAATAAATAATTAAAATTTATATAAAAAAGATACATATATTTGACATAATGAAATTAGATATTTCATTTTCTATTAGAATATGAATCTGTAATTGTATTTTGTTAGAATATGAAGTAAAGATTATAATATTGAAATTTGTAATTATATTTCATAAGAAAAAAAATTCACTAATAAAGCATACCAATTCGAATTGTTTTTTATCTTAAATTGTTTTTTGTCTTGAATTGATTTTTTTCTAAATGTTATTAAGTTTTTTCTTATTCCCGCATCATTTCTTATTCTCACATTGTTTCTTATCAATATTATCGTTCTAATGGATAACTTAACATATTCTGATAATTATATTTTAGATAATTTATCACAGAATGATTTCACTTTTAATGCCTTGATACAAAACGATTCTAATACTGATATCTCCTTGCAAAATAATAGTGGAGTAGAAATAAATAATACTTTTAAAACTAAAGATCATTGGATAGAAGTAATGCATAATAATAAAAAATCGTAGAGATGTTTGCACTGTCAAAATAAAGTATATTCTTGTAATACTAGTAGAACACATCTAAAAAACCATATCTTATCTTGTTCTAGCAATTTCGTAGACGATAATCATAATAGACCTATATCAAGAGATAATATGGATGATTCAATAGTCAATTTAGTTATTGGGACTGGAATATCTTTTAATGTCATTGATAGCCTATTATTTCACAGGATGGCAAGAAAACTTCATCATGTAACTCATTCTTACAAGATTCCCACTTAACAACAGTGTCTCAACATTTATCAGGTAATATTTTTGATAAAAGATTAGAGTTTGTAAAAGAGGCATTAGCAAAAACTTCAAGCAAAATTTCTTTTACCTGTGATAGATGGCATTCAACTGTCCACAAATGCCATTATATAGTTGTTACAGCATCGTGGATAAGTACCAATTGGAAGATAGTTAATATTATTTTAAACTTCCAAGAGTCAGGACAAACAGCCATTGATATAAAATCTGTAATAGTTAAAACATTAGATAATTATAATATTAAGGAAAAATTTTTTGTAATCATCATGGATAATACCAATAAGGCTGTGAGTTGAATTATTCAAAGTGAATTACCTAATAACAATATTATATCAATTGGCTGCATGTGCCATATTTTAAATCTAATTGTTAAAGCTGAATAAGTGAACTTCATAAAAAAATACATAAAATAATGAAATATCTAGCAAATCCCTTAGCAAGTGGTCAGTTGAGTTTATTGGCTTCATATTGCTGTGTTGTTCATATAAATTTTTTACAGCCAATTCTTGAAATCGACACTCGTTGGAATTCGACACTAGCAATGTTTGAAAGATATATTTCTTTGCATCTGGCAATTAATGAAATGTGTTTAAAAGAGTCGTCGATACCTTCCTGCTTATAAGAAGAAGAATTAATAGAGCTTAAATCAGTTTGTCAGCTTCTTAAGCTATTCGAAGCTGCTATATTAGTTCTTTCAAAATACAAGTCAAATTCAATATCTAATACTCTAACAGTAATATTAGAAATTTCACAACATATTCATAAGGCTAGATATAATAATAATAATAATACAATTCAGTTAATGAAAAGAAAGTTTGATAAGTATTGAATAAAATAATTGATCAAGTTATAATCACACATGTGCTTGATCCGAGATACAAGATGGAACATTTGAAGGCAACATTAATTGAAATTGGCGAGTATAGTGAATTGGCTGCAGAACAATTTGTCAATAATATTCAACAAATAATAATTCAATATGGTGCAAATTATATAAATACCAATATACAATCATCTTCCGTTGAAGTTGTCGGAGTTGATCATTTCCTAAAAGACGTATGTTAAAAAGACTTTTTTATAATATTAATATAGTTGGTTATAAATTAATGTTGTATGAAAGAGAACCTCCTGAAGAAATTAGAAGTAATGCTGAAAATAATGGACTTTCCTGTTAGAAATCATTATCAAAATGATTTCCAATTCTTGGTAATATGACATGTAATTATCTCAGCATTCAGCCCTCAAGTGTCACTAGTGAAAGAGCATTTTCAAGAGCAGGCTTCATGGTTACTCATGATAAAGCAAATCTTAGTGAAAAAACTATTTCTTCTACAATTCTTATGCATTCATGGCTTCTAGAAAGCCAAAATGAGGTTAGTCTACTTCACATTCTTCCAGAAACAAAATAATTGTATGCTACTATACAAATTCAGAGGTTTTATAAATTTAAAAAAATTAGCTTTGCTTGCTTTGCTTAAATTCAATGTAAAAAAGAAATTTCTTTTATATTTATAATTCTATGCAATAAATAATTATCAGTTGTTATACAAATATGTGCATTATCATTATTAATTAAAATTTTCATACTGTGGGAAAAGGATATAAGGTACACTTCTCTAAAAAAACAAAATAATTACATATATTAATATTTATTAAAAAAAATTTAGTTAGATTTATGCGAAATTTAAAGATATATATATCGATTTTCATCATATTGGCTTTTACACAATTGTTTTGAATATTTTGATCCATATTCACATACATGTAGTCAACTCTAAAAAAAAATTAGCAAATAACTTAAATATGTAATAGAGTGTATCAAAAGTATCTCATATCTTCGTCTCTATATCCAGACATACTTCTAAAATATATGCTTTTACAGTTTTAGCACATTTCTCTTTTTCTAAACAATTAAATGTAGATATAAGATTTAAATTAATAGCACTATTTATAGTTTCATTTAAAAACTAGATTACGAAATTAAATTGATTAAATATATATACTAGCCTTTTTTAAAACATCAACAATTTAGTACCAATGACCATGGCATTGGCATATAATACAACGAGTTGAAAAGGTTCTCTAGTAGAAATACTAAAACAAACCGCAAGAGGAATATTAGTGTATTTGCAAACTTTGCTGATCAAATTAGACAGTTATTATTGACTTCAGAACAAAACCCGTTGCTCCCATTCTTAATATAATATAAATAAAAGAGTCAAAAATATTTGAAAGATATTGAATATGCATCTCTGTAGTTGAAGGGGTGATAAAAGGCATATAACCAAGACTAATATATTATAAAAAGGTAAAATAGTTAAAAATCAACATAGTTATAAAAAAAAAAGTTAAGAAAAAAATATATAATACCCATGTTAAGAACAAAGTTCGCATCAATGATTAAATTCGTCTAGTGGTAAATAAAGCCATTGACTTTATTCTTTTACATTTCTTACAAGCTTTTCTTCACCATAAATTAGCATTAGATTATAATAGTCTATAAAAAGCACTGGAGCTTTAAGACTATGAGCACGAGCTTGAGAGATAAAGGATAAACTTTGATTTATATTTATATTATGTTTAAAAGCAATCTATAGAAGGGACTATTTAAATTATTTAAGAGACAAATTATATAATTTGTTCAAACTATTTAGAATATATCTGCTCATTATATTGTTGGCTTCTTAAATTACTAGCCCATCAGCCAATGGATTTGTAAAAGGTATTGTCGCATAGTTTCTGAAGACCTTTATGTCTAGTAAAAGGTATACTAATTAAAGATAAAGGGTTCAGTAAATTAAGAAGAAAGAAGGATAGATGAAAGTATAAATCGATCAATTCATGTGACCACATGATCGATCAGAGTTGTAGGTAAATCAAGATGTGGGGTGGTACATACAAGATCGGGTATGATAGGTACCTTGATTATTGATTGCATGAATATGACGATTGAGTTGGAAATAATGAAAAATTTAATTAATTAATAACAAAGAAATAGTCAAGCTGTAATACAAAGTATGTAATTGTTTTGAATTGCTTAAAATATTGAAATGTAATAAAGAATGAAACAGTCTTTGGACTGGATAATTTTGAGTTCATTAAAGTATTCTTAGTGAATAAACTATATCTTAGTGTCATATTGGTGGTAGTATCTGGTATGATACACCAGTCATCATATATTGCCAGGTGAGTGTAAACTGATAGTAAAGACCCACAAATACATGGAAGTTTGGGTAACTCCATGACAGGTATACCTAAATAAATTGATTTCTTATAAAAGATATGTGGTTTTAATTACAAAAATATGTTAATTTAACTTAGCTATAAATAAAAAATAAATAGTATATAGATTATTTGTTTGCGGACTGAACAAAACATTCTTGTTTAAGTACTGAGCCATTAAATAATGATTATGAGCCCGTTGAGTCTCATAACATACATTAGACAGAGGCCCTAGTTGCTATTGAAACAATTTTTTGCATGAATAAGTATACACATATAAATAACTTAGATGATTGTTCTATCAACACAAAAAAAACCTAGCACTGGCGAGAATTAGAGATGATATATACCCAGTTCTGGTCAAAAAAAAATATTTATAGACGATGCTATAGGTGATTATGGTATTGACAATAATGGTATAGAAGATAGTATAGGCAATGGTAGAGGCGATAATGGTATAGATAATGGTTTACTGTAAAGTTAAACTTTTTCTTTTTTCAACCTATATTCTTTATTATAGCATGACATCTTTTTAAACTGATATTAATAGAAGCAGAAAAAAAAATTATTCAATATATAACTAACTGGTGGTGCTTTTAGTATTTAATATCCTAGACCACTGCCTGCAAAAAAAGTACAGTAATTAATCAGAATAAGTAAAAAAAGTGTTGATAAAATTTAAGATAATGTGGTATATAAAAAAAAATCATTTATGCATTCCTGCAAAGATTTTAGGCGAATTCACCTAAGCCCATCACAAAAATATAATCAGAATAGAATATGACCTAAAAATATAGGAGGCATATGTATATGCAGGTGTGTCATACATGTTTTATTACTTGTTATCGGTCTAATTTAGACCTAGAGAAGCAGCCACACGCAGCATGAAAAAAAAACCTTGCAGTAATTAGCTAAAATAGAAATTTGCTGTGCCATAACCGTAAAATTTCCAGAATTAAAAAAGTTTACCGGTTTTATTAGATATTACAGCTGTTTTCATTATTCCTGAGACACCTATAAAAAATTAGCCAAAAAAAATTTTTGGCCGGTAATTTTTTCGGCATGATCAGTATATAAAAAATATATTTTTGAACTCGTTCAATTTTAATTTACTGTAATATTGATATAATATCTACTCTAAATTACATTTTTGGTTCAATTTCAAAAATTATCATAATAAATATAATACCTGTTCTATGTACAAATAATTTTATTATTATAATGTCAACATTATTAAAATTTTGGTTGAACGCTTGCCTAATATTTAACTTGTGTGAAAGTTTATAGAAAAGATTGTGACAAGAAATATAAAAAAGGCTCTAGATATCAAATTAGCTTTTATAGTAAATATATCACATGAATAGGTGCTAATATTAAAAAAGTTAAATACAATCAAGAA